TTGAGAATTCTCTCTTGAGACATGCATGCCATTTTTTAATTGGACTATTTGGTTTGTTGATACCTAGAGTTTTGAGTTCTGTATATATTTTGGAAATCAGCCAGAGAATGGTAGTCAACAGATGTAAAATTCCTTTAACAACCATACCTTCCATTCCTGTAAGGTGACTATACCCACACAAATAGGTTTTTTTCCAATCAAATGATGGGTATTAAGTGAATAAAATGCATTTCTTGTTATTTTTGATGTTTCAAGATAGGGTTTCTCGGTGTAGGCTTAGCTATCCTGGAACTCTTTCTGTGGACCAGGCTGGTCTTGAACTCACAGAGAACCACCTGCCTCTGCCTCCTGAGTGCTGGGATTAAAGGCAAGTGCCACCATCACCTGGTATAAAATACATTTCTGGCCCCTTAAAAGAAAACAAAAAAAGAAAAAGAAAAGAAAAGAAAGAAAATTCTTACATTGCTCTTTGAATTACACATATTTGTAAAATATACAAAATATTGCTTTGAGATAAAAGTTACAAAGTTTCCATGATTAAAATTTGTTCTGCATTTTCTCTACATGTTTATTTCTTTCAGTTCATTGTTCTTAAAGTTCATCAGTAGCAAATGAAAATGAGTGATCATTGAGAACTCTATTTTACTCATTCAGAACAACTGATTACAGTTCATCAAGGGAAAGAATTGTTTTATGGCTAAAAATTCATAGTCTTAGATAATGGAAAGTAAAACTGAAAATGTTCTAAATATGATAGTAACCAAACATATAATTATAGCAAGGACAATAAGCAACAAATCAGGATCTGACAGTTATTAATAGCCCCAAATAAGTTATTTTCTAACAGCACCATAAACAATGATAGTGCTTCAAACATAGAAAATAGGGCTGGAGAGATGGCTCAGAGGTTAAGAGCATGGACTGCTCTTCCGGAGGTCCTGAGTTCAAGTCCCAGCAACCACATGGTGGCTCATAACCATCTATAATGAGATCTGGTGCCCTCTTCTGGCCTGCAGGCATGGAGGTTGAACACTGTGTACATAATAAATAAATAAATCTTAAAAAAATTAACTTATTAAAAAAACATAGAAAATAAAAACTAAGCAAACCGATGTAGCAATAAGGGTGGCAGGGCTGCGTCCCCCACACCCGGCCGCCCACATGGCTAGCTTATGCCCAAAATAACAACACACAAACTGTATTCATTTAAACACTGCTTGGCCCATTCTCTTCTAGGCTAATTCTCACATATTAATTTAGCCCATTTCTAATAATCTGTGAGCACCGGTCTTACCGGGAAGATTCTAGCCTAGTCCATCCTGGGTCGGAGCTTCATCCCGGGAGCGGGGCATGGTGTCTCTCTCTGAGGCCCCCGGGCAGACACACGCCATGAAGCAAGCAGCCAGGTTAGACATGCTGAACCTTTCCCGGTAAGACCGGTGCTCACAGATTATTAGAAATGGGCTAAATTAATATGTGAGAATTAGCCTAGAAGTGAATGGGCCAAGCAGTGTTTAAAAGAATACAGTGTCTGTGTAATTATTTTGGGGCATAAGCTAGCCGAGCAGGCGGCCGGGGTGCTGGGAACGCAGCCCCGCCACCCTTATTGCTACAAACCGATCTCTAACTATAATGTGGACTTTCCTAATTTATAAAATTATTATAATAAGGATATTATTTTTATTTAATAGGGTTCTGTAAGCAAACTAATAAAACTTGCATGTTTAAAATAAAAACCAAACATCCTAGCTTTTTGCTTTATCTTTTAAAGTTGATATTTAATGTATAATATCTTAACAATAAGTTTTAATACTTAAACTTTAATTTATATTCTGGAGTTATAGCTCAGTGATAGAGCACTTGTCTGACATTTAAAAACCCCAAGTTCAATCCTCAATAATAGAAAAATGGGAAAGAATGAAAGAGGAAAGAGATTTATATTTTCTCAACATTAACATGAAGGCATTTAAATAAAGTTCAACATCAGTCTAATACAACATATTGAATACATAGTTATTGTAAGTGCCTAAGAAAGTGTTCTATCCCTAATCAAAATTAAGTTAATTTCACTGTTTACTTTCATGTAGAGATTAGAATAACAGCATTTAATATAAACATGCATATTTCTCTTAATGTTGCATTATATACTGGTATACATTATATACATAAAACAACTCCAGAAAGCATCTGACCTCCAAAGCACCACCAAATAAAAAAAAAGATAAACAAAAACAAAATTGTATTTCATCAGTGACCTTTATCTTTTTTTTTTTTCTCTTGACTCAGTTTTGACCACCCTTCTACCCGTCAGAACAATATGCACAAAGAGTTTTGGAGGGCTCACATTCTAGAAATCTGGTGAATTGTGTAGGATACAAAGATTACAGTTAAAGTACTCTCTTGGGTAAAGAGAGACAATGAGCATCATTTCTTCAACATAACAGAGCTATGGGGAGTTTGGAGGTTGTAGGAAGTATTCCTGATAAATACTAAAATACACTGTGGGATCATGCTCTTATACACTGTAAAGATTTGTCACTCATACGGGTTTATTAAAACGCTGGTTGGCTAGTAGCCAGGCAGGAAGTATAGGTGGGGCAACCAGACTAGGAGAATTCTGGGACAAGAAAAGAGAGACACAGTTGCCACCCAGATGCAGAAGAAGCAAGATGAGAATGCCTCACTGAGAAAAGGTACCAAGCCACATAGCTAAACATAGACAAAAATTATGGGTTAGCCAGGCAGTGGTGGCACACACCTTTAATCTCAGTACTCAGGAGGCAGAGGCAGGTGGTTCTCTGTGAATTTGAGACCAGCCTGGTCTACAAGAGCTAGTTCCAGGACAGGCTCCAATACTTCAGAGAAATGCTGTCTCAAAAAATAAAAAGGAGTTAATTTAAGTTGTAAGGGCTAATTAATAAAAGCATGAGATAATAGGCCAAACAGTCTATAATTAATATAAGCTTCTGTGTGTTTCTTTGGGACTGAAAAGTTGTGGGACTGGGCAGGACAGAAACTTCCATCTACAAAATTCTGCAAGGGAACTACATATAGAGAGGAAAGGTGGGCATATTAAATATATTTTAAGGGAGTAATTTTTTTCAGAGAAGCATGTGAATTCCCACAACAGAGATAATGCCCAATATTCTTGAGGCTCTCTTGCTACTTTAGTGACTCTTCATACAAATCACTGACCACTTCGTGTCTATTTATATCTCCTTATAGTGCAATTATAAAAGCATTGCCTCTCCCTTACTTAGACATTGCAAACTTGAGCACCCAAATAATCTAGAAAGCAGTATTTTGATTGCTTTTAACATTTACAGAAAATAACTAGCTATTTTATGAACAGTACTAAGTTGTTTCACCATCAATCTAATCTGTACAGCCATATAATCTCTGGTGGTTTCAAATGTTGAGTGTTTTCTGTTAATTGTCTTCCAACTTTGGTACACCAACATATGGAAACTGTTCACAAAAGGCGACATGATAATCTTCAAATGAAGAGTTAGAATCTGAGCTAACCATTCTTGAGTAAATACATAGGCACAAATAAGAAATGGTCATTGTCTTTTATTTCCCTCTGAATTTCTGTAGTTTGAAAAGAATTGGGCTATTAATCATGTATGGTATTTAAGGACAAAAATATGAAATATCCACTAATTAGCTTTAAACTATGAATTACAGTTTAGAGCCATTGCAACAGCATTAGCATTTAGATTTGTTTCACTTAAATTTGTAACAAAATATACAAACCAGAAACTTAAAGGAAGCTTTCTACAATGAAGATTTAAAGATTATGATCCTTTAAATTTCTTTAGAGATAAGAAATAGGTCTTTTAAATACTAAACACCATTTTATTTGATAATGACCACCATGGTTTGGAGATAACTATAGTTTTATTTGGCTTCATAAATATGTAACAGAACCAGGTGCATTCTCTCAAAGACAGCAATGTTAGTAGGGGTGAGCTAGTTCAAACTCTGAAGCACAAGTTTTCTTTCACATATTACTATTCTGTGACACCTTTTCCTCTTCCCTCACATTCTCCAAATTCACTGGTCTTGGGTTCCTACATTTCTGAATTCTACTGCTTACGGTCACCAATTTCTTTTCATGTGTTCATTTCTTACAAGTTTTTTAATTCAGAAATTTACATATATTAATAATTATCAAAAGTAGAAAACCGTTATCAAAAGCATTATTTCTTATTAGAGCATCCCATTTTATAGAAGACTAGCCCTGGTGGAGGGCAAGAATTGTCTATAGAATTTGAGGTGAATTTATTTGAAACTAGAAAGGGAAGAGACATATTCCACACCCTTTTCATTCCTGGCCATCTTTACGTGTACTCCTTTGAGTGATGCTGATGTTGCAGCCTACTCACCTGTTAGCTGGTTAACGAGTAACATCTGTGTAGTCAGTATTTCTTAGAAATGACTTCTAGGTCCGTTTCTTCCTTCTTTTTACAATACTTGGAATTTCCCAGTAAGGCTTTAGCACTGCCTTTGTTTTATAAGAGAACCCATAACTGATATCACTTTCTTCTTACTAATAAGTGAGTAATCAACTTTGTTTCTTATATTTGACCTGAAAAACTCCTGTCAAGTGTCACTGACAACCATCATGGGAGCATCCGAGGGAAGCAGCGTGAGAACTGGACCAGTAGTACATAAATGAAACTAACACTGTAGGAAGGATTCGGAGAGAAGCTTCTCCCCACCGTTAATTTCAAACACAACAAGAACTGGTAGCATTCATCTTCTCTAGACTGTTGTGCTGCATATGGGACAAGTTTTCTTGTACATATAAGCTAATTAGATCTGGATTTTCTAATGCATCTCTATCAAAAATATTCATAGGTGCTAAAGTTTCTTTATAGTAAATGACATAGATTCAATCAATTTTTATCAAAGTAGATATTGGTATTGGAAAAAAAAAAGACTAAAAACCTATGCCATAGAAATCATCATTAATGTGTTCAGGCCAGAAGAACAGTTTAGAATCTTGGTTTTGGTCTTCGAGAGAAGGTTGGATAGTTAACATAAATATCCTCTTTCTCATCATCTGTAGAGTGGATGGGAGACGTGGGACTTCTGCAGTTGGTAGCTACCTACAAAATAAATAGCCAAACATTGAGTGGCTCACTGAATTTCAGCATCCAATAAAAGCAATCTATAAGACCCTGCTAGCAGATGAACTAAGACAAGATATCTTAGTTTTGAACTTGATTCCAAGAAGTAAATCATGAGTCAATCGGGGGAAAAAATTCCAAAGACCAATACTTCATAAAAGAGGAAAGTAAAGTTGATAGATTATTAAGAAGTCTGCAGCACACATATCAGATTGCCAGAGGCTTTTTAGTGCTTATCCTTTTAGCCATGTAGAACTTGACTGCAAATAATTAAAGGGAAGAAAAATTGATGTCATTTTGGATAGCACTTGAGAAAATGTCTTAGTTCAGGCAGCTATAACAAAATGGCGTAGACTAAGTGGCTTAATTAAACAGCAAACGTTTACTTCTCACAATTTTAAAGTATATAAAATCCAATGTCAAATATCAACTGGGGGTTTGATTCTTGAGTTGCAGATCATCTTCTTCCTTCTTCCTGTGCAAAATTTTTCTTGAATAAAAACAAGCAAACAAAGATATCTGGCTTTCTAAACTCTTTCCATTTCTTCTTATAGAAACACTAATGCCATTAACGGAGGTTCCACACTTATAACCCAATCACCTCTGCAAGGCCCCACCTGCAAATATTATCACATTGGACAGTTGATGATTTCAATATATGAATTTAGGGGGTCATATGAGCATTCAATCCCCAGCAATGTTTTATAGTTAAACTTAAAAATATAATAGTTTACTACTAAAAGAGAGATATTTGAATCAAAATTAAAGACAATGAGCATAAAAAAGCACCCCTTTTATCTGCACTTAAGGAAGTTTCCATTCTTTCAATTAAACAGTAGAGGGCAGAAGTATAAAGAGTAAGAAAAAAGTTATAATTTGTCACAATCCTGCAACACACTTGACAATTTAGTAATTTTATAACCTATTTGAGCATTTATAATTAAAAATTAATTCAAAGATAATATTATCAATGAAAGTCATGCATTATACCTTTCTTTGTGTATGCTATGCTTCGGAGTCATTTATGTAGTTTAATTTAATTTAACCCTCATAATAACCTTATGACGTAAAATGTTATGTTCTGTATTGAGTTGACTAGATGCCTCTTTAAAAATGTCTTTACAAGAGATAGCCCCTGTTCCCACTGTTAGGAGTCCCACAAGAGGACCAAGCTACACAACTATAACATATATGCAGAACACCTTGGTCAGTCTCACACAGACTCCCTGGTTGTTAATTCAGTCTCCACGAGCCCCTATGAGCCCAGGTTAGTTGATTCTATCTGGATCATCTTACCCAGCCTTAATAGATGGGAGGTGTTTAATCTTAATGTAACTTGATACACCATATTTTGTTGATATTCATGGAAGACCTGCCCTTCACTAAATTGAAATTGAGGAGAAGTGGATTGAGTATTGGGAACAGAGGGAGGAGTACGGGGAAATGACTGGGAAGAGAAGAAGGGGAAATTAACTGCAGTCGTGATGTAAATTAAATAAGTTTATTTTCTAAAATGTCATTTTAGAAGCTTCATTATTTAACATGTTTTAAAAGATCTTTACAGATAAATTAACACTAAGAAGGTGGGAGAATGGCTTAGAAGCTAACTACTTAGTGGGAGAACATTAGCATATGAATTCAGATTCCCAGCACCTGATCCCTGTAACCCAAGTACTAGCAGTTTAAGACAAATCTCAGTCAATGGCCAGCCAATCTAGCAAAAGTAGCAGGCTCTCAGTCAATGAGACTTTGTCTCAAAAAATAATATGGAGATATATAAAGGAAAATAGAAGACATCATAAACCACCCACGCACCCCCACACACACACATTGGCAAAAAAGCTTGCCTTCATATGCACATGCACACACTCAAAATTTATGCAGATAAAGTTAATGTGTTAAACTGAAGTAAGGAACATGAAGTAAGCCTTTGGTCCAATATGACCAGAACCTTTATTAGAGCCAAGGACATCCAGACAAACACAAAAAAGGCATTATATGAGCACAAGGGGAGATTTAAAGGTGTATCTGCAAGTCAATGGCTGTGGAGAACTGCAGGAAGCTACCAGAAGCTGATAGAAAAGACCGATTTTACCTCAGAAATAGCCATCCTTCTGGTGCTTTTTTTTTTTTTTTTTTTTTTTGCTTCAAAATCATGAAAGAATAGATGTCTGTTGTTTTAAACTACCAATTTTGTTCAATGTGTAATGGAAAGCAGATTTTGGTAATGTGTAGTGGTCACTAATTATGTATCAGTATAATTTCTATTATTTTCCTCACAATCCTCCTGCCTCAGCTTTCCATGAGCTAGAACTATGGACGTGTAGTATTTTTAACACTAAGATATTTCTAAAATCCTGGCTTCAGAGTTGTTAACAATAAGAGAATAACTATTTCCTCAGCTAGTGGATACTTGAATTGCAAGCAATGTCATTTCAAGATCATTGAAAGGGAAATAAGCAATAAGATTGACAAGTGAAAATAAAAAAGGAAAGCTCTGCTCTTACGGGAGACTTTTCAAAAATAGGAGCAACGACAATCAACTTACCTTACTCTGTGTATCGCTGGGCTCTTTAAGTGGTGTTCTCACCTGTCTCCTTCTCCTTCTAGAACACAAATTCAGCAAAGGATATTAAGACACTGTACTCAAGCTCTAGTTATCCCTACTGCTCAATTCCTTGCTGTGTCTCCAGCCACTGTGTTCCTGTGAAAACATAGTTGTGGCTATAAACTATTGCTCTGTATCTACGCTCTCTACTCTGATGGTTCAAGTGTCAGCTTGGCTAGATTAAAAGTCATCATGAAAATATATTTTTGGTGTGATTTTTAGAAATTTTATCTGAAGAATGAAAACTCATGTTGTATCACCATCCTTTGGTGGCCCCAAAGCCTCGATAACAAGAAGAAAATACACCGAGAATCACTTTCCTCTGCTTCCTGACTGGATACAACATGACTGGATGACTCAAAAACTCTTCCTTCCATGATTTTGAAACTGTGAGTCGAAATAAATTTATTCTTCCTTAGGGCTGCTTTTCCAGGCGTTTGTCACAGCAATAAAAAGAATAACATACTTACCTTTTCCAATGTGCTTATAGATGGAAAGGACAATAACTAATCAATTGTTTTACAAAATACTATATAGTGGATTAGTATTCAAATGGTACAGCTTTTGGAGTTAGAGGTTTTCTACAATTAAATCTTCTTTAAAATGTCAACACTGTCATTATTGGATGACAATAATTATTGATTTAAGTTTCTTAAAATCTCATAGGTCTTATAAACTACCTGGTACATTATTTTATTTAGAGTTTATCAAAGCTCTAAGAGAATAGGAAAGTGCTTGGAAGGGAAATAGCATCTTGCCTATCTTCTCATGGTTGGTTAGTAGTGGTGCTGAAGTTAAAGCCACAGTCCTCCACCTGACTCTAAGGCTCCCCCACTCTGAGTCACCTGGACGAACAGACCATCCAGAGACACAGCGTGCAACACACTCACCTAGGAAAGCCAAAGTTTTGTGCAAAATTTCAAAAGAATAAATATAAGAGAAACAAAAAAAAAAGATATGCCAAATGAATGTGTAGAAATAACCACAGCCAAGACTATTGAAAGAGCTGTGATGGGGTATCATGGCTCCCTCTTTGTCATCTCTCTCCAAATAAGATTCTAACTGAACTAAAGCAAAAACAGATTCAACGCAAGAAGTGAAAAAATTTGCTTTTGCTTTTTCTTGTTTTGTTTAAAAATACAATTTCAACTCCTCTGTAGAAAATTTGAAAGCAAGATATTCCTTCTAAAAGCTGCTCAGTAATAACTATTGCCTACAGTGGATACTTGGAATTCCTTGGAAGTAGCCCTACGATCTCAGTACAATCTTACTTCTTTATGTGCGTTTATTTGGCTTTTATTATTTAAGGAATTATACCTCAATTTATTTACTCCTTCTATGTGTAAATTATGAAGTATAATTAACATTTTCCTAAGCTTATGTAAGTCAATTTATATTATATTTATATTTTTTTAACAAGAAAGAAAAACCAGTTTAATCAGTAAGTTAATGAAGTGTGCAGATACTTCTTAAAATTAGGTATAAATGGCCAGCAAACAGATGAGAAAGTATTTAACATCACTAGCCATCAATAAAGGTCTATTTACACTGCCTCCAGATTTCATCTCAATGCAATCAGAACAACAGCAGCCATTATGAAAACAAATAACAGCCATGGGTATTCTTTCCCAGGACTCTGGAGGCATAGACAGGGGATCTCTGTGATTTCAAGGCCAGCCTGGTCTACACAGTAAGTTACAGGCCACTTTTTTTGGATCTAAGTTTATTTTTCACTCTTTTTTTTATTTATTTAATTATTAAAGATTTCTGTCTCTTCCCCACCACCGCCTCCCATTTCCCTCCCCCTCCCCCAATTAAGTCCCCCCCCCCAGACTGTAAAGCAATCAGGGTTCCCTGTCCTGTGGGAAGTCCAAGGAACACCCACCTCCATCCAGGTCTCGTAAGTTGAGCATCCAAACTGCCTAGGCTCCCACAAAGCCAGTGCGTGCAGTAGGATCAAAAATCCATTGCCATTGTTCTTTTATATTTTAAGAAAATATGTGCTATGATTGTTAGTGGATGGTTCTATGCCTCTGGCCAGTTAAATTGTTATTCATAAGAATGATGGTGTGTATGTAGGTGTATGTCTGAGTGTCTCCATGTGTGTGCGTGTATGCACATGTGTGTCTCTGAGTGCATATGTCTGTCTGTGGGTATGTTTACCAATATTTAAATAAGACAAGAACATGTGGTGAATAAAAAAGAATTTGGCTTAGATATCAAAGCTTTATTTATGTAATTTGTGTTGTGCTATTTGCTACACAAAAGATCAATATCTCTATAATCAGTCCTCCTACCTTTATAATATAGTTAGTACATATACCAAAGACTGTTTTGTGTTGAAGAGTTGCCCTGATTTGTCTAATTGTAAGGTACTTCCCAGTATGTGACTTTTTTTCAATGCTGAAAAAAATGAGTTTTCAGTATATCAACACATTACATAATCTGCACATTTTTATCAAATGTACAAATAAGAAACATCATTTTCACTAAATGTTATATATCATCTTACAAAGACAGCTGATCATTTCAAGAATAAACTTTGGCTTTTTTCATTCCGACACTCTGTATTTCCCCTGGCCATGTTCATTCACTATTATTATTGTGAAGCAGAAGACTTGCTTCCAAAGACATCAGAATCACAGGTGACTAGGTGTCAAGAGTAAAGTCAGGATTTGCTTTGGCTCCTGTCCAACTCAGCACAGCTGAAGCTGCAGAATTATTCTAAACAGCAAGACGTGGGACTCTGGGTCATTGCTATAACCCTTGGGTCAGTTTTCAAAGCATTTCCATTTGAAGTAACAACCAAGACAGACGTGTGACAAGGTAGGATGAACAGCGCCCTTTCTTTTGTGTTTTTCACCTACTATTATTCAGTCAAGCCTACTAATCTTTTTATAACATTTAACCAGGGAAGGTTATATACTCTTTGGTTCAATTTAGTTGTTCAGGTAAACGTAATACATTTTCAGGAGCAAAACCTAGCATGTCCAACACCTGTGACCCTCCAGAGGCCCCTGCTCCCACTCATTGCTTCAGCTGTGCTGCTTGTCCCTACTTGCTCCTTCTGTGGTCTCTGGCCTTTGCAAGTTTTTATAAACTAAAGTGGAACAGTATGCTTGGGGGGGGGGTCTTTACTTCAACTTGGTCATAAAAAACTTAAGTTCACCCATGATGGGGGTAAAGAAAAACTTCCCTGTGTCTCAAAGTACTTGTACAAACACCTATTGAATATGAACTGTTTAGACATATTAGTGCTAAATACATTTGAAAGTTAGAAATGAAAACTCACAGAAATTCCCAAATTATGATTATCATACATAGATGTGGAGGAAAAAATGGAAATCACACAAAAAATTAAAATACAAAGTAAGATTCAAGGAACAGCAGATTAGGAGGACAAGATGATTCCAGATTGTGACATCATATCTATTTAAAGGAACATCAAAAGAGGACAGATCTCTAGCATGGGGAAAGAGGACAAGTGTCTTGCATGCTGAATGAAGCACAAGATTGAGACCAAAGGAGAGAAATTATATTTTTGTAGCAAAATTTTTCTCCTCTGAACAATGAGTTGGACATGTTAAAAGTATATACAATTGTTCCAACTTTAACAAAATTAATCAGCACACTGGGGGAGTAGTAATGTGGAAAATATAAATAAAGATGCTGATGTCAAGAAGCAAGGCACCTTCAATGACTTGGTTAATGAGTTCTAAGATTATTCTGGTGTCTAGGAGAAGATAATACAAGCGTCCATCAATTAGGAATGACATCACCAATCCTATTTTCCAAAGGAGTAGGCAAAATCAATGGGTTAGAAGGAGAAAGTTTGTCAGAGAGCAAAGTGGGAGGGTGAAAGAGTTATTAAAATCAGGTGAATGTAAAAGAAGTAGAGGTCAGAGTTCATATTTGGAGACAGGACATATAAACCTACTGGAGAACCAAATTAATGTGTGTGTGTGTGTGTGTGTGTGTGCGTGCGCGCGCGTATGCACACTTTATCAGCAAGAAAAGAATGAAATTTTGTTTATTCATTTATCAAAACAACCATGTTAAGTGGTTGTGCTTTTCCAGACATGCAAAATATCCATGTTCAGATAGTGGCCCTTCCTCCCTTAGACAGAGAACACTCCAGCTGGAACATGGTGTGGGTTATTAAAGATAGTTAAAGTTAAGTATGAGAAATATGAGGCAAATCAGTAGTGCTCATGGGAGAGCTAGTGGGGAAAGGAAGGGCCAACTAAGAAAATTTTAGAACTTTCCTATATGTCAAAATACAGTGAAAAAGTAAGAAGCTTCATTGAAACTAAACATCTCTCTAAGGCCACCCTTCCAGCTCCTAGCTAAGTCACTTGATTTAGCATCCCTACATGGCTTGGTTCAGAAACTACCAAACCATTTTTCATTCTGCTAATATATAAGCTTCCTTACTTCTTCTTTGCCACATTGCAGTGAAAAAATAAAAAAAAAGTTGATGAATGAATAAAACGTTACCACTCTTCTCCCTGTTTCTTCCTCTCTCTCTGTTGTCCTCTTGAGTCCCCTCACATAAAACCTTATCAACTGACAGCTATTGCCATGGAGGAGGAGGAAGGGAAGATGGAAGTAGAACAAAGGATTTTGCTAGAATAAGAGGGCACACAACAAACTCTACTAATTATTAAGTGAATGATTACAGTTTTTGTCTATAATATTACTGCCCCTACATCTTATTACTTGTTTAAGAACAGAAATTTATACACACACACACACACACACACACACACACACACACACACATACACGTATCCTCAATCAGCTTGATAAATTGTTGAATCATTCATAGAGAACCATTAATATCAGAATTATCCTAGGCAAATAGGACTCAGGCTAATGTGTTTTACTCACCTGCTATAAAAAATAATTGTGATTATAATTAGGATAACCAGCAACAGTGAAACTGATCCTCCAGCAATGGGAAGTATAAAATGTTTATTGTCTCCACCTAGAAAAAAATAAGGCATGAATTAGTAATTTAATTAAGGCCACCAAAAAAGGGAGGGAAAATGAAGGAAAGATCCAATAATCATGACAGGATAAAATCAAACTCAAAGAATTTAATAACAATAGGACAGGGTAAGGGGAGAAAGGCATTTTTCCTTAAGATTCTCCTTAATTCTTATGACTATCACAGGTTTTTATTACTTCCTTTACTAAACTGGGTTCAACAACAAGAAGAATATGGAGCTGAAAAGATGGTTCACTGGTTACTTCTCTTTCAGAGGACCTGTGCTTGGTTCCCCGCATCTACACAGTGGCTCACAATTGCCTATAATTGCGCACCTGAGAATCTGACACTTTTGACGTCCAAAAGCACTTATGCTCACACTGACATACATTACACAGATATGCATATATACATAAAGTAACAAAAATAGATCTTAAGAAAGAACAATAGTGGTAATGGCACCCATTGAACACATAAGCTCTTTCAGTATAATATACAAAAAAGCCCTTGCAGAGAAAAAAATGCAATGCTGGAGTAATATACTAATAGAACTGCATCTTATGTTGACGTATACTCTAGGTAGACATATAATGATGAAGGAGTTAATTTCAGGCCTGCCCGCTGTTCCTTCTACAGTATATAACTGAAATGTTTACCAGAATTTTTTAAAATATACTTTATACTACATTTGAATACATTTTAAAAGTGATATTGAAGTTAAACATGTTACTCTGACTTGGTGTTGTCTGGAACTCTAAATTGTTCCCTTGACTGATCACTGTTATAGCTGACTGGCCGCTAGCATCATCTTTCTGTGCTCAGAATTCTTGCATCTCTCAAACAAAGTGATAAATCAATATTTGAAAGAATGATGAGTTACTGCTAGAGAAATCCCACCTCTAAGGTACTAGATTGAGGTGAGACACTACTCCATGTTTCTCTGTGACCTCCTGCCCACTACCACCCTCATCCATTTTCACTCTCAGAGCATCTTGTGAGATGAGCCCCATCACTATTGTTGGCAAGGGTGAACCTGAAATGAGGTTTACCTATTGTCTTTATTGCTGTCTACTAGACAGCACATTTGCCACTGCAGTCTGGAAATCAATGACAACGTAAGAAGAATATCTCTTCAACTCATTCTACCTCATATTTCTTCAGAACATCCCATACTTCCTAAGTCACAGTTTCACTGAATCCTTTTCTTATGATAAAAACCTTGAGTCTAGACCAACTTTATTCAAAAGAAACTAAGACAAATGATAGATGTTTTCAAGTTTTAAACATGTTTAATCCGTCTTATAAGACTAAGTGAGAGCAACTATACAGTGGTTTTCCTTCTGAGTCTGGCTTATGTCATTTAACAGATTAGCACAAGGTTCTTCTCAGTGTCACAGATGACATCATCTTTTCTCTGTACTGCTGAAAGCTACATCGCTCTGTCCATATATACCATGTTTTCTATTTATTTCACCAGTGATAGACATGTCAGTTGTCTATATGTTGAGTGCTGTGAATAAGGCAGACACATAGAGACAAATACTAAAAGTCCAAGTGTATATGAAATATAAAAATGCTGAAATCTTTGATTTCTGGCACAGAGCAGGAAGTATTGAAAATGGGATCATGTTCAAGGGTACAAGCTTTTGTTATATGAAGAAAAAGTTCAAGGGCTATAGATTATAATACAGGTAAGTTAGGGGTGTGCTAATTAATTTGGTGATGGTAATCCAGGCTGTATATTTACATATACCAAATCTTTATACTGGACACCTTGAAAATATTTAAGCTTTGGGAATATATATATTTAAGTTTTTAATAACTAGAAGATGGCTCAGTTTGCAAAGCATTTGCCTTAATATCACAAAGACCTGACTTCTGACCCCATATAAAGTCTGTGGTGGTGTCACACTCTATATCCAATAGAGAAGTAAACAGATCCTGGGATTGAGTGGGCAGGTCAGTGTGAGGCCTAGTTACCAAAAGCAAGATGAAGAATTTCCGAGGGACAGCACTTAATGCTGCCCTCTGGTCTTCACATACCCATGTACACAGGTACACTTGAACAGACATAAACATGCATGCACACATGAGTATACACACATACAGATTTAAAGTATATTTTCTTCTTGTTTTTTGTTGTTTTTTTCCAAATTTTCTAAATGATATGTTGTTTTTTAATCAGAAGATCTATGAACCTATATATAAGTCTACATTCTTAAAACAGAATGATTATTAGATTTTAGTCATTACATTTAAAAGACAAAATTTGGGGAACTCCTTTTTAAAGGAGATTCAGAATCATTAGGAGTTAAGATCATGTTTTTGCTGTGTTCAATTATATGATTTAGACTATTTTCATCAGAGTTCTCAGCTATAAATCCTAGTTTCAAATGCTTCAGCTTGAAACATATTTCCCATGACCAGCCTTTTTCAGTAAATCTGACCATTAGTGTCAGGTCCTTTTGTTCAGTGTCTAAACGCTTACAGTCTCTCACTGTGCTGGGTAATGGGACCACAGAGGATGACAAATAAACACTTACTTTATATTTCACTAGTTGAACCTTTATTGCTTTGAAACTCTCCCCATGTTCTAAATCAGGCACCAAACAAGCATTTCCCCTCCAGAAATGAATGTATAGAGAAGCACAGCTTCAGCCCTACTTGGCCCAGTACAGCCTGAAGCCATCGCTGTCCTACCTCCCTTCCCTGCCTTCGTTATGTACCTGCTATGGGAATGGCCAGAGTAGAGCTTGGATGGACCTCCATAAGACCTGTGTGGATTGAAAAACAGAAAGCATTCAGGATGCTTTGGAGAGTTAATCAATACTTCATAACACTCACTTTTCCCCTTAAGTTCTGCTAATAGATCTGTGGTTGAATAATGTCAGCCCTCAAGTCCTTCTCCTAAAGAAAGAATTATTATCTGTTCCCAGTGGTCCCTTTCTAATAGCTTTTTTCATGTATTCCAATGCTGTATTGATTCATAGGAGGACAAAACTCTCTTGAACTATGAAGCCATTATTTTTCCTCCTTTCACAAAGGATAAATACAGTTAAAACAATTTCAAGCAAGTCAGTAAAATTTATAAATGAATAATTTTCTCTAAGCCTGTGGCCCTCCAGGGTAAGTTTCTGCCAGACCAAGTATTTATGACTGAGTTATAAACCTTTAGAGAAGACTCATGATAGAAATACCACTTGTTCTGTCCAGCAGGGCTAGACGAGCAGAGCTGTTGGCACTGCCCACTGTTTGTCTTCGTTAGAGATTCAAGTAGGTTGGTGGTGAAGGCACCAAATAATGTAGAATATAAATAATAAGCTAAGTGCATTGGACCAATACTTTGATCCTAGTACTTTGGAGTTGGAATCAGGATTATCAAAAGTTCAATGCAGCCTGGGATACATAGCAAGCTTAAGGCCGGCTTGAGCAGCATGAGACCAATGTGGGCTATTTGTTTGGTTGTGTTTGGTTTTGGTTTTTCTTCTAAATTTTATCTTGTGGGACAGCTTGCAAGGGCAGAGGGCAGAAAGAGAAGGACAGGAAGATGAATGGGATCAGGATGCATGATATGAAATCCACAAAGAATCAATAAAAAGTTAAAAACAAAAAGAAACCAACAACCAAAGAATCTAACTGGACCAGAGAAGGTGAGGAAGGACACACATACAGTATCAGGTATTCTTTTCTTGGTCATTAAAAGAAGAAACACAAATGTTAGACCTTAATCTTAGGGCACAAGAAATATACATGCAGTAAGTTTACGTGAAGCAGATATGTATAAGCTCACAGATCCTGAAATACCAAGTCATTCTACATTTCAACTCAGCATTAGACAGAAAAATATCTCTAATATGAAATTAATTAGCAGCAAACTAAAAGCACAGTCATTGAAGATAGATGTGGAGCTTAGACCTGTCTTCTGCTTTGTTTCACTTGAAGAGTTCATATAGGATATTTAATCTCTTTGGTTAAGTGATGAAATGATCAAAGAATCAATGCCAAGCATGCCTTTGATATTTAAATAAAACATATAGTGGAATTTTAAGTATTTTCAACACTATACAATGTTAATAGCACAAATTATACACTCATAGTTAGATTTTATACACACAATGAAAATTAGGATTAACTAAATAAGCCATTTTTAGTCATGTTCAGATGTCACATTGAAGTACTTCTGTATCATAGATGCTACTTGCTCCTATAACTAGTCACCCTTCTAGGGAAGGTTAAAAGTAATTTGTATGTGTAAGAATATTCTAGACCACTACGACATCGTAAACCAAAATTGGTAAATGAAATATACATCAAGTAGATACTGGTATTCTAACATCACTCCAGGTTTCCAGAGACCACCTGTCAGCATAAATTAGTTTTATAATCCTTATTTCATAAATGTTTTTCTGTCTTACATGAAGGAAATCCCAGGGAATAAGTGGCTTTCTGAGTCCTTTAATCTACAGTGACTGAAATGTGGCAACGGTATTTAAATCAGTACCGTTTGTGGTTTAAATGAGAATAGCCTATATAGGATCATATGTTTGAATACTCGGTACCCGGTTGGTGGGACAGTTTGAGAAAGATTAAAAGGTGGGCCTTGTTGGAGAAGGTATGTCACTAAGAGTAGACTTTGAGGTTTCAAAAGCCCATACCATTACCAGTTAGCTGTTGGAGGGTGAGAGCTGTTCGTTGGTCCCAGCTACCCAGCCACGAAATAATCACACAGAAGTTGTATTACTTAAATCACTGCTTGGTCCATTAGATCTAGCTTCTTATTGGCTAACTCTCACATATGAATTTAACCCATTTCTAGTAACCTGTATATCGCCACTTGGCTGTGGCTTACCAGCTAAAGTTCTGGTGTCTGTCTCCAGAGGGGCTCCATGGTGCCTCTCTGACTCTACCTTCCTTCTCCCAGCATTCCATTCAGTTTTCCTGCCTACCTAAGTTCTGCCCTTTCAACAGGTCAAGACAGTTTCTTTATTCACCAATGG